AATCTGCACTACCTGAGGATGCTTCCATATAAATATGACCAATCATGGCTTTGCTGTTCTAAAGAAGAAGATTTTTAAAGATATTTTCCTATATATTTCTATGTAAAAATTTGATCCTCCATTGTGGCCCCACCCTACCCCCAGGGGTCATGATTTAAACAAACTTGAATCTGCACTACCTGAGGATCCTTCCATATAAATATGACCAATCATGGCTTTGCTGTTCTTAAGAAGAAGATTTTTTAAAATATTTTCTTATATATTTCTATGTAAAATTTTGATCCCCCATTGTGGCCCCTTCCTACCCCTGGGGGTCATGATTTGAACAAACTTGAACCTAAACTACCTGAGGATGCCTCCATATAAATATGACCAATCATGGCTTTGCTGTTCTTAAGAAGAAGATTTTTAAAGATATTTTCCTATATATTTCTATGTAAAACTTTGATCCCCCATTGTGGCCCCACCCTACCCCCAGGGGTCATGATTTAAACAAACTTGAATCTGCACTACCTGAGGATGCTTCCATATAAATATGACCAATCATGGCTTTGCTGTTCTAAAGAAGAAGATTTTTTAAAATATTTTCTTATATATTTCTATGTAAAACTTTGATCCCCCATTGTGGCCCCACCCTAACCCCAGGGGTCATGATTTGAACAAACTTGAATCTGCACTACCTGAGGATGCTTTCATATAAATATGACCAATCATGGCTTTGCTGTTCTAAAGAAGAAGATTTTTAAAGATATTTTCCTATATATTTCTATGTAAAACTTTGATCCCCCATTGTGGCCCCACCCTACCCCCTGGGGTCATGATTTGAACAAACTTGAATCTGCACTACCTGAGGATGCTTCCATATAAATATGACCAATCATGGCTTTGCTGTTCTTAAGAAGAAGATTTTTTAAAATATTTTCCTATATATTTCTATGTAAAACTTTGATCCTCCATTGTGGCCCCACCCTACCCCCGAGGGTCATGATTTGAACAAACTTGAATCTGCACTACCTGAGGATGCTTCCATATAATTATGACCAATCATGGCTTTGCTGTTCTTAAGAAGAAGATTTTTTAAAACATTTTCTTATATATTTCTATGTAAAACTTTGATCCCCCATTGTGGCCCCACCCTAACCCCGGGGGTCATGATTTGAACAAACTTGAATCTGCACTACCTGAGGATGCTTTCATATAAATATGACCAATCATGGCTTTGCTGTTCTAAAGAAGAAGATTTTTAAAGATATTTTCCTATATATTTCTATGTAAAACTTTGATCCCCCATTGTGGCCCCACCCTACCCCCAGGGGTCATGATTTGAACAAACTTGAATCTACACTACCTGAGGATGTTTCCACATAAGTTTCATCTTTCCTGGCCCAGTGGTTCTTGAGAAGAAGATTTTTAAATGATGCCATTATTTTTTCACTAATTCCTAATTATCTCCCCTTGAAAGGGGGCGTGGCCCTTCATTTGAACAAACTTGAATCCCCTTCACCCAAGGATACTTTGTGGCAAGTTTGGTTGAATTTGGCCCAGTGGTTCTTGAGAAGAAGTCGAAAATGTGAAAAGTTTACAGACGGACAGACGGACGGACGGACAGACGGACGACGGACAAAAAGTGATCAGAAAAGCTCACTTGAGCCTTCGGCTCAGGTGAGCTAAAAAGGTAAAGTGTCCAAACTCGAAAATCCTATTTCGTGTGTGTGTGTGTGTGGGGGGGGGGGGGGGGAGGTTTCCACCTTCCACTTTGTTTTCGAAACACATTATAATACCAAATTACTTTGATTTAAACTATCCTACAACAAGGGGGGGGGGGGGGGGGCAACCAGCTTTTCAGTGGACATTTACAATAGAAGTAGGTTATGTTTGGAAAAAAGGGGGCAGGTCCCTACTGATGCTACGTGCCTGAAATATTTTCTAAGAATTTAAGGGTACATATAATTGTCTATCGAAATCAGGATTGCAATTTAACTGATTTGTAACGACATTGTAAGACCAAATTGAAGAAGATGTACAAGATGAACTTAATTAGCTGAGACTTGGCTACACTTGCATATTTATTTTCAATGCAGATTTTGACAATAATAAATTTGCACACGGTAATAAAACAAAAATTTCTTGAAGTTTATATTCATCATATGTTTTCTTATATTTATTCGTAGTCATGCTCGAAGTAAAAACAAGACCTGGTTGATGCCATTGATACACATGTACAATATTGTTATAAAGCAAACTTTTTAATTACATATATACGTACAAAATTCATATTGCATAGATTAGGTTTTTTAACTCATAATCTGAATTTTCAAAAATGTTAGATATGCACATGAATAATCTTTTAAAAAGTGGAGCTTGTATCAAATATGTTCCTTGAATGTTATTGAAGATTATTTTCATTTTATAATTATACAGTCATGTTCTTTTTATAATGACTATATCTTTGGGTAAAATAGTGTTATTACAAAAAACAAGTGTTCGGATAATAATTAAAATTTTATGCATACAAATTCGAAATGTGAAGAAAATTTATTATCTTAGAAAATCTTTGTCAAACCTCGAGCTCCATAAAGAACATGATTTATTTGCATTTTCAAGAGCGATAAAACACGTTCTATGTTCTTTCTATTTATTATAATATCTATTCCCATTTTCTTATTTGTAACATTGTACGTAGATGTATTTAGTTTAATTCACTATGTTTTAAAATTTCTGACGTGTCATTATGGTCCAACGATTTGAAACTTTAATAAATACATAGATTCAGATGTTGCGACTCAATCAATCCACGGACCAGATCCGCCACTAATGTCATTAGTTTTACCGGTGCCAGGATCATTTGAGTAGAGTTTTGTTATTTCATTTGGACAAATTTTAAGTAACAAAACACAAAACCGCATGTATATAAAGCACATAGAGTATATATTTTTCCTTTATCGGTCCTTTTTATTAAAAGTGAAAACATTTATCAAGTAATCGCCATTACGAATGAGGGTAACGCTTTCCCTTAGGAATGTCTTGTTTTTTATTGAGCAGTTTTTGACTGAAAATATGCGATATCATGGAAGGAATTCATAACAGTGTAGGCTACAGATATCCAACCAAAATTGATATCCTCATATTTTATAAGTAAAGATACAAGTATAATTAGAAAAAAAAATTATGTTTGACTTTAAAAACATACTGTGTATATCTAAGGTCAGGTAATCCCCACTTTTTAATCTTTTTGAAAATAAAAAATATATCCAGCTAACTCCCAAATGAAAAAAAAAATCTGCTCAAATGAAATCATACTTAGTACAAATGAGAAGTACCGAAATAAATTCTACAATTTAATGATTATAATCAGCAATAATTCTGCCATCATTTTCATGAAGAATCCACTTTATTTATCGTTTTATTATGCATGTGTTAATTTTATTTTATACAAGAAATTTCCGTTAAAGTTGTATCTATAAATTAGATAATTTTAAAAGGCCATAGAGCGTATATTTAAAAATAAATAAATAAATAAATCTATCATTTTATTAAAGCAAAATCTGTTTATCGTTAGGAATTTAGAGTTTGCTGTGCATTACTTTTAGTTCAGAGTCGAGTGCATCATATGCAATGGTACTTTTCCCCCCGCATTATAACACAAACATGCGATTTCTTTCTTGTCACAATTTATGTCCGGCATCATATAATACCTCCATATTTTGGCTTGGATCTCGGTCAATATAAGAAAAATATAATATTTCCGAACAACTTTTAATTTTTGTAACACAGTTTACAAGAATACACTTCATTAGTTTGATTGGCATTAGCTAGAAATCGGATCGAGTTTTAGCAAAGAAATAGAGAAGCAAACAAACATGCATATCATCGTCAACGCCATTTTCTCTCGATTACATCCAGCATTCAAGAAGAGATAAAGAGTACAGAAAACCAAGAACACAATGAATATTCTATGTGCATAATAATGATATGCGCAGCTGTATGCGCAGTAAAATTGCTTGTGTAATTTTTAGTTTCCTCTGCTCGTGCAGTTTTTGATTTTACGTTTGTGCATTTTATACCCATTAATCGTGAAAAAAATTTCGGATTCGTGTATTTTTCGTTATGTTTGTGTTAAAATCGTTCAAACTATGTGCAATTTTTACCGATACGTGCATTTTTATTTTACTCGTGTATATTTTTCATCAAGCTCGTGTATAAAATCGTGATCGTTGTGCAGAAAATAATTTTGAAGCAATCGGCGTGCCATAGCCAGATATCTCAGTTGGTTGATCACTTGACTAGTTATTCAGGGTCCCGGGTTTGAATTCTGGTCTGGTCCATAGCATTTTCTCTCATCACCGGTTACAATTGGTTCCGTGCGTGCCATGCCCTGGAAAAAACAGGTGAAAGACGGTTAGGAAAGAGCCTGGGTTGATGTCTTGGGGACGAAGACCGTTAAGGAGTGGAAAAGTGGCGGTGGCCGGATAGCTCACTACTTACAGTACTTACGATAGGGCACCAGACTAGTGATCCAGTGTGTCTGGGTTCGAATCCTGGGGTCCGTTTTACAAATTAACTTTCAACTAAGTCCAAAACCTTAAGTTGATTGTAAACTTTTGCTAAATTAATTATTCCGTTTGAAATTGATAAAATAAAAATATCTTTCTTAAGTGTTTTTAAAGAGAATAAAACCGTTTATAAATTAAATTTTGATCTTAGCGTAAGTTCTTTTGTATTTACGGGCGCCTGTTCTTGTCCATCGTATATTTTCTCCTCGCTGGTTACAATCATAACCAGTCAATAGATATAGATTCACGGTTCAAATCAATTCTAATTAAATAACCAATCACTGTTCAAGGGAGATTCTGGAGAAAAATATTGTACTATTTCATGTCAGTAAATTGAAGCATACTGAGAATCAGTATTCTTATCTAGTTAAAAGAAACCCAGAGATTTTTCTATTTTATACAGCTATATATATTTCATCATTTAAAAAAAATATTTTTCCTCCATAGATAAAGGATGCTTTCAAGAATTCAGGTAACTAAGAAAATAGTTCTTCACTCGATGATTGAGACTATGTTTCAATTTTTTTCAATTCATTGTTGAAAATTGCATGATATCAGCTTTTTAGCCTCTGTTTATTTTTGTTTCAGATCAAGAGATGAACTATGACACCAAAAAGTGATTCCTGTATATGAAATAAAACACACATCTGTGTGAAAAACCACAATGACATCCCTAATGTGAACGACAATCGGTGTGCCATAACTTTTATTTGTAAATGACCTTTTCAATCGTCTTACTAAATTCACTTTACTTTGTAGTTTTATATATGATTATTGTGAAACTGACATAACTTTACAGGCTCTTACCTGGATCCTGTTTTCGTCTTTCTAATAGTTCTTTATTTTGTAGAATGTTGTGTTTAATATTGACATATCTTCAGTGTGTATACTCTTATTTTAATTTTTTAAATTTACTTTCATCTCTCTGACATAAGGATCATAAATGTTTTGTGTAACTGATATATATGTAATGTGTAGGAACAATAGAATGTTTGTTTTACTGAGATCTCTTCAATGTCTAAAAATTGTTTTTGCTTTATGGAAATTTCTGTATTGTATAAATGGAGTATTCGTAACAGATTTTTTAGTACTAAGTTTATGAATTACATGTAAGTTGTGTTTCCACAGCTACATTTGCAGGATCAATAATTATCTGTGTGAGATATATTTTATATGTACGATAATATACATATGCATGTACAAAACATAGTTTATTTTGCATAACTGTCACATATTGAATGTGATTTCCTCCATTTGTTACACAATTTATACATTTGGTGTGTGAAGATCAAATAATAAGGTCCTTGAGTGGATCGAGATTTTCAAAGACGTCATTGGAATCCCTGGATCTAAAAAAGTAACTTAACTATAAAATCGGAGCATGTCATCTTTCCCTTTGCAAAACTTGTTTTAAGTAGTAAATGAAATATTTGGAAATTAATTGGCTAATACGTGTACCTTTTTCAAATACATGTACATTTATTAATATCAAAATGATATAAATTTTTTGTAAAAGATTTTAAAATTATGAACATTTTCTTTGATTTATCTTTTATTCGTTTAAGGACATACGCAACGTACCTTACCTACTGATAATTTTTCAAGATATTCTTAATTTAAGATTATAGTGCCATCAGATGTTCGTAGACAAAAAATCAGCATGCATTACCAGGGGTTTTGAAAAGATATCAATTGATGAAAATTCTTGTATAATTCAAAGAAAAATATACAAAAATTATTAAACATATATTCTAGATGTTTTGTTTATCCAAATTTGTTTTAGAAGAAGTGTTTAACAGCATATATAGACATTAAAATGTAGCACACAGTTCCTTTAAGTATTGGAAATCTTCAACTCCAGGGAAAAAGACAATAAAGTTCAAACTACGTTGCGTATGTCCTTAACATCCAAAATTGGAAATGCATTGGGATCAGTTCACCAGCAGCAAGACGGACCGAGCTACTTTAACTGAAACTTGCAAGGTTATAAACAATCATGCGAGGCGGTGTCGGAGCTATTTCTCTTCTCCGCAGGATATATTGTTCTGACCTCGTTATGTTTTATTTGTTCTATCAACCCTTCAATTAGTCCAGCACGTAATGTCATCCTCGAATGCTCCGATAGGCTGTGTTCGATGCATTTCTACAACTCTGCATTGAGATATTTATTGATACACGCACTTGACCTCCTAGATAAGTGTTCAAAAGCCCGTGGCCATGACCAATCTACTTACATATGGAATTGAAAAATAAGTGGAGAAAAGAAATAGTGTCGACCCGTCTCGCACGTATATATACGTATGATAGTTTGCAAAGATTCGCAAAAGCTTTAAGGCAAGGATCAACTATGGCACGCCGATTGCTTCAAAATTATTTTCTGCACAACGATCACGATTTTATACACGAGCTTGATGAAAAATATACACGAGTAAAATAAAAATGCACGTATCGGTAAAAATTGCACATAGTTTGAACGATTTTAACACAAACATAACGAAAAATACACGAATCCGAAATTTTTTACACGATTAAGGGGTATAAAATGCACAAACGTAAAGTCAAAAACTGCACGAGCAGAGGAAACTAAAAATTACACAAACAATTTTACTGCGCATACAGCTGCGCATATCATTATTATGCATATAGAATATTCATTGTGTTCTTGGTTTTCTGTACTCTTTATCTCTTCTTGAATGCTGGGTGTAATCGAGAGAAAATGGTGTTGACGATGATATGCATGTTTGTTTGCTTCTTTATTTCTTTGCTAAAACTCGATCCGATTTCTAGCTAATGCCAATCGAACGAATGAAATGTTTTCTTGTGAACTGTGTGAAAAAATTTAAAAGTTGTTCGGAGACATTATATTTTTCTTATATTGACCGAGATCCTAGCCAAAATATGGAGGTATTATATGATGCCGGACATAAATTGTGACAAGAAAGGAATTGCATGTTTGTGTTATAATGCGGGGAAAAAAGTACCATTGCATATGATGCACTCGACTCCGAACTAAAAGTAATACGCTCTATGGTCTTTTAAAATTCTCTAACTTATAGATACAACTTTAACGGAAAGTACTTGTATAAAATAAAATTAACACATGCGTAATAAAACAATTAATAACGTGGATTCTTCATGAAAATGATGGCAGAATTATTGCTGATTATAATCATTAAATTGTAGAATTCATTTTGGTACTTCTCATTTGTACTAATTATGAATTCATTTGGGCAGATTTTTTTTCATAGATTAAAAAGTGGGAATTACCTGACCTTAGATATATACAGTATGTTTTTAAAGTCAAACATAAAAAATATTTTTTTTCTAATTATACATGTATCTTTACTTATAAAATATGAGAATATCAATTTTGGTTGGACATCTGTAGCCTACACTGTTATGAATTCCTTCCATGATATCACATATTTTCAGTCATAAACTACTCAATAAAAAACAAGACATTCCTAAGGGTAAGCGTTACCCTCATTCGTAATGGCGATTACTTGATAAATGTTTTCACTTTTAATAAATAGGACCAGATAAAGGGAAAATATATATAGTCTGTGTGCTTTAGTACATGCGTTTTTGTGTTTTGTTACTTAAAATTTGTCCAAATGAAATAACAAAACTCTACTCAAATGATCCTGGCACCGGTAAAACATATCATCAGTGGCGGATCTGGTTCGTGGATTGATAGAGTAGCAACATATCTGAATCTATGTATTTATTAAAGTTTCAAATCGTTGGACCATAATGACACATCAGAAATTTTAAAACATAGTGAATTACTAAATACATCTACGTACAATGTTACAAATAAGAAAAGGGGAATGGATATTATAATAAATAGAAAGAACAAAGAATGTGTTGTATCACTCTTAAATAATGCAAATAAATCATGTTCTTTATGGAGCTCGAGGTTTGACAAATATTTTCCAAGACAACAATTTCTCTTTACATTTCGAATTCGTATGCATAAAATTTTAATTATTTTCCGAACACTAAGTTTTTGTAATAGGCTAACACTTTTTTACCCAAAACTATAGTCATTATAAAAAAAAAAATGACTGTATAATTATAAAATGAAAATAATCTTCAATAATATTCAAGGAACATATTTGATACAAGATTCACTTTTTAAAAGACTATTCATGTGCATATCTAACGTTTTTGAAAAATCAGATTATGAGTTAAAAAGCCTAATCTATGCAATTTGTATTTTGTACGAATACATGTACAAATAATTAAAAAGTTTGCTTTATAGCAATATTGTACATGTGTATCAATGGCATCAACCAGGTCTTGTTTTACTTCGAGCATGACTACGAATAAATATAAGAAAACATATGATGACCTCAAGAAATCTTTGTTTTATTACCGTGTGTTTATTATTGTCAAAATCTGCACATTGAAAATAAATGTGCATGTGTAGCCAAGTCCCAGCTAATTAAGTTCATCTTGTATGTCTTCTTGAATTTGGTCTTACAATATCGTTACAGTTCAGTTGAATTGCAATCCTGATTTCGATAGACTATTTTATGTACCCTTAAATTCTTAGAAAATATTTCAGGCACGTAGCATCAGGAGGGGTCTGCCCTCCCCCCACTTTTTTTCCAAACATAACCTACTTCTATTGTAAATTTCCACTGAAAAGCTGGTTGCCCCCTCCCTTTGTTGTAGGATAGTTTAAATCAAAGTAATTTGGTATTATAATGTGTTTCGAAAATACTTGTTTTGTTTTTTCAGGTAGGTTGTCAAAAAAAAAAATCTGACCCCCCTCCCCCGCTTTCAAAAACGATACTACTTGCCTGTATTTTATAATTTTAAATTTTCTTAACACCTTTATATGCATTTTAACTATTCAAAATAGACTACCGCCGATACATCAAAAACAACATAAATTAAACTTTAATTTACATAAGTAAAACGACTGTATATTTTTTCTACATTTTCTTGGAGTTTTTATGAAATCACCACACGCTGCACAAAAGTTAAGACTACATGTACTACATGTACTTTGTTACATACATATACCAAAAAGTGAGATATGCGTTTCAATATTAAAATTTAAGTTGCACAATTAATATTTGCTCGATTTTCTTTACTGTTGACTTCCAAAAAGTTTTCGGTCAAATTCCACAACCCAGATGATCGCAACATTGCTTCAAAAAAAAAATGAATTGCTAGTAATATAATCTTTAATCAAAAGGTATTATTGGTGTGTCAAATAGCTATAAATCGATTAGCGTACATGTGTCTTTCGTTCCAGAACCAGCAGGGAAGGATCTCTGTATGAAAAGGTCACGCATGCACATCCTTGATTATTACCAAAAGTACACACAGTAGGTGGTGGAGGAGAAGAGTTTGATTTGTTGTTAACTCTCCTGTATTATATCACATGTTTTTATTTATTTTTATTTAGGCCTTTATGTCACTGTTTTAAACTTTCAAAAGAAATTGCTATATAGAGGAATGACATACTTTTAAAAATCCAACAATTAAACACACAACTGGTAATATGCATCCCCCTTTTTTACGTTATCTATACAAGTATTCTGTGAAGAATGTTTTTTTATTCGGGGTTGTTCATATACTACAAGTTTAAGATTGTGTGCCTGTCAATTTATCTACATGTATAATATACGTTGTACATATATTCTTGGGAGTCTAGCGGAATTTTAAAAGAATCTTTTTTAAAAAGATTACCAACACGTTAATTACTCCTCCTTTTGTAAAAAATTTATAGTATGTTTCAAGCATCCAAACCACATTGAACTGTTCTCTAATGAATATTAATGAAATGTGCGCAATGAGGATGCGTAGCATATTATGTCGATGTTGTATTCTCACTCGTGCAGTTTTCGTTTTTACGTTTGTGTAATTTCCTCACTATATCGTATAAATATTTTGTTGATTGTGCAGTTTTTCTATAGTTTGTGTAAATTTCAATAGCTTCGTGTATATTTTCCTCACTTTGTGTAAGTTTTTACTTACTCGTGTAATTTTTGTTTTAGGTCGTGCAGAAAATAATTTTGAAGCAATCGGCGTGCCATAATCATCTACATTCGATTGCTCCACCAATTTAAGGTCGCTAGGCTCTGGGTTTTTGTGACGGTGTCACTGCTGTGGTGCTGAATAATCTCCGGAGACAGAAAATCTGAAATACTGACGTCATCATGATGATGCTGATCTGGAAGATGGACCAGTACATGATGTGTTTGTTATTTCCTATTGCTAAATACCAGTCCCGCACCACGTGCATACGGCTTTCCGATTGGTGGAATCTGACTGTGTCTACAGAGGTCTGCACGTCAGTCAGTGACCTCTGAAATGAAAATTCCTTTTAGCTCTAAAAGTTTTGTTTAGTCTTTCGTATGTAAATCTGACTTTTAGAATGATTTAAGAATATAAATATATGTTGAGCAAAGGCCCTGGTGAGTTAATTATGCTTCAAAACTTAAGATCGACGATCGGTTCTCTCTATTACATGATTCCTAATTTCATTACCTTATTTCGAGTGAAAGCTAACACAAGTTGCGAAAGGTACTTTAAAGTTTCTTTAGCTTTTATAAGGTTTACAATACCTACGGAAAAGTTCTGTACGGTGAGGCTGACACTCTGGATTTCTTCCATATATTTGGCCCATTCCTCCATTATATAAGTTACAATATGGATGTACACGAGCTTCCCGGAGAATCTGGAGTGTGTGTTGTCTATACAAACGTGGTGGTACCCTGTAATGGTGGTGTCAGTGAGAGAGTGTTGAAAACACAATAAATAAACAAGATGTGTTTGTGAAACACTGATGCCCCCGTATGGCAGCTTATGGCGAAGGTTAAAGTTTCTTCAAATGCAAGTCAAAATCCAGGCCAAAAGATAAGAAATGTTGATACCCAAAGAAAGGTCTTGTCTCGAGGAATACACAAGTGAAATTTGAAAGACCTAGATACAACTGTTCAGAAGTTATGGTGAAGGTTAAAGTTTTTTAAATAAAAGTCAAACGTCAAGGTCAAGGTCAAAGTGGTTGGTATCCAAAGGAAGATCTTGTCACAAGGATTACATATGTGAAGTATGAAAGCCCTAGCACCAACCATTTAAAAGTTATGGCCATGGTTAAAGTTTTTCAAAAGTAGGTAAAACTCCTAGGTCAAGGTCAAAGGGTCAAAGTGGTTGGTACCCAAAGGAAGGTCTTGTCACAAGGATTACATATGTGAAGTATGAAAGCCCTAGCATCAACCATTCAAAAGTTATGGCCAAGGTTAAAGTTTTTCAAAAGTAGGTAAAACTCCTAGGTCAAGGTCAAAGGGTCAAAGTGGTGGTTGGTACCCAAAGGAAGGTCTTGTCACAAGGATTACATATGTGAAGTATGAAAGCCCTAGCATCAACCATTTAAAAGTTATGGCCAAGGTTAAAGTTTTTCAAAAGTAGGTAAAACTCCTAGGTCAAGGTCAAAAGGTCAAAGTGGTGGTTGATATCCAAAGGAAGGTCTTGTCACAAGGATTACATATGTGAAGTATGAAAGCCCTAGCATCAACCATTCAAAAACTATGGCCAAGGTTAAAGTTTTTCAAAAGTAGGTCAAACTCCTAGGTCAAGGTCAAAAGGTCAAAGTGGTTTATATCCAGAGGAAGGTCTTATCACAAGGAATACACATGTGAAGTTTGAAACCCTAAGCACCAACTGTTCAAAAGTTATGGCCAAGGTTAAAGTTTTTCAAAAGTAGGTCAAACTCCAAGGTCAAGGTCAAAAGGTCAAAGTTGTTGGTATCCAAAGGAAGGCCTTGTCACAAAGAATACACATGTGAAGTTTGAAACCCCAAGCACCAACTGTTCAGAAGTTATGGCCAAGGTTAAAGTCTCATAAAATTTTGCAAAAGTAGGTCAAACTCCAAGGTCAAGGTCAAAAGGTCAAATATGATGGTACCCAAAGAAAGGTCTTCTCACAAGGAATACACATGTGAAATATGAAAGTCATAGCTCCAACCAATCAAAAGTTATGGGCAAGGTTAATGTTGACAACAGACAGACAGACAGACAGACAAACGGACAAACAGACAAACAGACAGACAGGACAAAAACAATATACCCTCGGGATCTTTCGATCCGTGGGCATAAAAATAAACGTCTACTAGAATACAAAAACCATCTGCATGCATATAATGTCAAATTTAAGGAGCTGGCTACCTGTATTACACTAGACAGAATCACAAAACAAAAATGGCCTCGTAAGAAACCCAAATTAGATTTATACTGTTTTCGTAAAATTACATAAATGATGCACTCCATAGTCTAAGTCTCTACTATTCTCTCAAAGTGTTGCCTTCATTTTGATGCAAACGCTTTGTTTTCTCCTAACTCACCCTCCATCGTGGCTTTGTGGTTGATGAAGCCCTCTGATTTTGAATCTTCGTGCTGAATTGTTTTTAAGCTCGGGTCAATCACTATCATTCGAATAGTTCTGTCTCCGCCCCTCAAAACCTAAAGTATCTCAAATGAATCCTAATCGATTATTTAAAGTAAAAAAATAACATGTACTCGTAAGTTATGGACTAAGTAATTCTAATGAAAATAATGAATAACATTTATGAATAGTTTCCCTTCCTCTTGATTTTATATTTTACAAAGTGCTCGTAATGAAATTTTTGACGAAAGTTATAATAAATTATTAAATCATAGTTATCTTCTAATCATTAATAAATGCCACTCTTCTTAATATGGCAAAGAGTTTTTAAGAAAATTGATTTTGTTACTTATCTCCCATACTTTTTCCCCTTACAGAATCAAAATTAAGGATATCCGCTCCTTAGCCGAGATCAATGACACTTTAAATTATTATTTAATTGATTAATTATATAAGTCTCGAAATAAAGCTTGATATTGAAATGTTTCGTGCAACAATTTTCATTTCATGCATTTTAGTATGATTCAAGGTTCTTTGAAGTCTTCGAAACGGTCTCGTTAAAAAGGAAACTTGCACCTCATAAAAGTTACAAAAAAAAAATTTTTTTTTTGGTGAATTCACTTTACTTTGTAAATTTAGTAACATTTTTGTGAGCATTTTAAAATACTTCACTCCTGATTTTCAAACCCTGAGGAACGGACTACCTTATCTCTTCAGTCCTTTTTCTAAAACATGGTCTTTGTTTCTTAAAAAAAACATTCAAGCAAGTGTAATGTGACGGATTGTACCTCATACTGCACGTGAAACACTGCTCCTAGCGCCACCTTCTGGGCAAAGCAGTCCTCATCACCGGCTTTAACTTCTATCTTGAATTCATGTTGTGTTCCAGGAAGGGCATCATAATCGAAGTCACCTTCATCAATACCGCAAACAAACACTCTCTCATCCAATAAAGAAATCACAAATAGTAATAAAATAGATGTAATGGAGGTCGCCATGTTTTACAGGTAAGGTTAACTATCAGTAGACTTCTGGAGACACCAAATGTCTGGTCTCCCACGATATCATCTAGATCCGTGTGTGTGCCTGTTTCATTTTGCTATGTTTTGATTTTTCTTGATAACATTTAACGATAAATATAACGTTTATGATAAGGAACAGTCCATAATAACTTTGCTGATGAGCCTAAACACATCCATGGAATCAAGTAGTTCCAAGGCTAGATTCGGAAAAAAAATAGTTCGGAAAAAAAAAAACAGTTCTATGCTTGATCTTTAAAAATATTTGCAGAACTCTCTAAAGACTACATAAATGTTTTCAATGACGAAATTGACTACAGCATCTTTTTAATATCAACTTCAGAGTACTTGTGTATAGATGATCAGAGTGACTTCAGGTAAAAAAAAAAAAGTAATTCTGTATATGACCAATTACAAGATGTGAAAATTTCCGAGTTCCACTTTCATTGAAGAAGCAGTTGTCTATAATATCAAAAAGCCTATTTTTTAAATTTATTCCGAGGAATGGTTGTATAAAGCACAGGCACTTGGGGTATGCCCCCCTTTCCATTCTTTTCTTTTTAAATCTGGGATCAATTCACCTTTTCCCGATTTTTGTATTCTAATATGCACTATATGTTATCGATAATGTAACCCTTTTTCTCTATAAGTTGTTTTTAAATATATCGTTTTCGACTGATACATATGTATATTCGAATAGTGCATATTAGACTGAATACAAAAATAGTAAAAAAGTGACTTGATTCCAGATTTAAAAAGAAAAATAATGGAAAAAAGGGGGGGGGGGTCCATATCCCAAGTGCCTGTGGAAAAGCCTTACGTATTGATGTTATTGAATTGAAAAATTTTGAAAGTTCTTTGGAAGTTTTGAGAATCCACATTTGATCTGCCTGCGTGGCGCAGTGGTTAGAGCGTTTGCTCTAGAGTCGCGGTGTAAGGAGTTGAACCTTATGTCGCGGGTTCGAATCCAACGTGGAGACCGGATGAGACCGTATGAACCGAGGTCCCGTGTCGCAGTAGCTGGCACGAAAAAGAACCCTCACTGCTCAATGGTCCTGAGAGCCGAGAACAGCCCTCCACCTGCAAGTGGTTGCGTCTTCATATGAGTGAAATTTTGAGAGGGACGTTAAACAATAACGAACAAAAGTTAAACATCACCTCCCGTCGTCACCAAACATAACAGAAAAATATTTTGTGTAAAATACAAAATTTGACATAAAATATAAATTCATCAAAATCCTATATTGCCTTTCTTTCATCAAAAATGTAAGTAAAAAAGTAACGTACCGTGCGCGACGTACAAATAAACTTGGACGAAGAAATACATTGTCGAATATTTTCAGGTACAAGTTATCCAGTTCCCACGTGTAAGAATATAAACAACTGAGGAAACTCGGGTCCAATTAGATTCTGTGAACAGTGTGGCATGTTTACACAAAATGGACCGTAAGGATGTGGGTGTGGCTGTGTCGATCGGTGTTGGTATAGGGTTTGTCCTGGGGTGGTTTATCAGGGGACGAACTTTCAAAAGAATTCCGTACCCGGCTGCCGGTGTGAAGAATACAGACGTTGATCTCACAGATGTAAATATTTGTATATAACTTCTTGTCAGACAGGTTCACGTTGTCATCAGTGACTTTTATTTTCATTATTTATCACTCAGAATGTTCACATGATTGGTATATCTTGGCTTAAATCATTATGGTTGTCACTGTACAAGAGTTATGCTGTTATGATCTGATAATGATTTAAAAAAAAATCAGAGATCTAGAGCAACTTTGATAAAATAGGATCAGAATCAAACCTTGTTATCTCGAACTTGATGGGACTGAGATAAAACTTCGAGAAATCCGAGGGTTCGAGATATCGAGGGTAAAATACTTAAGAAATACGTGGTTAGGACTTCTCAATCACTTCGACATTTCCGAAGTTCAATTGTATGTTCAAAACAACAATAAATGACATTTTTAATGTTTTGTTATGTTTTGATTTAAGAACGCTCTGAAATTGTCAGACAATGGAGAGTATAAGCTGGTATTGGTTGTGCGACAAGACCTTAAGATGGGAAAAGGAAAAGCAGCAGCACAAGTGAGTTTTTTATGTAATCAACTTGTTTATTTTTGAGGTACTAATATGAACACTCTTGGTATGTTTATAGAATTTGATGATGATTTTAAACAATAATAATGTCAAAATATTATAGTGTTGTCATGCTGCCGTTCATGCCTCAGAATTTGTGGCCAGAAGTAAACCAGAACTATTCAACAAATGGAAAATGACAGGTCAACCCAAGGTTGTGGTCAAGGCTGACTCGGAAAGAACGCTGTAATTACTAAACCATTTAAAACATTGTTGAAAGGGTTGGGGGAGGGGGGGGGTAAAAAAATAATTATTAAAATACTTGTATTCATGTTGATTTAAGCTAGAAAAAACATAATTTGTTATGAAATTAATTTCAGTATGTTGATTATATATTAAATGAGTCACAATGGATAGTCTTGATAGTCTTTGTTCACTACAAGAATCTTTTAAATATAACATTATTCATGTTATGAAAACTTCATTGAACCTGACTTCATATTTGTCTTGTTCAGTATAGATTTAGCTAAGAAAGCAAGGTCTCTAGGACTAAATGCCAGTCTAATACAAGATGCGGGTAGAACACAGATTGCTCCAGGGTCCAAAACTGTGTTAGGTGTAGGACCAGGTAAGTGTGTTAGGAATATTGTTCTAATATATGTATGTTAAATATGTGATATGAATGACTCTCGCAATTCATATATAGCATGCAAGAGTGGAATTAGGCATATTCTTGTATCCTTCCATAACTAAATTAAAATATGGTTTTGCAATTAAAACATGTACATTAAGATGACAAATGAACAAATTGTTCAGTTATACACAGTTTTTATATTCACGAACTTATGTTACATTTAACACATTTCAGAGTAATTTATTTTATTAAAAATATATTTCTTAATTTTCAGGACCTGAGAACTTGGTAAATGAGGTCACAGGGCATTTAAAGCTTTGCTGATTCCCACAGTCTGAAACACAATGTCATGTTTTTTGTTATTGTTGAAAATAAACTAAAGATTGTAAAGTAATTGTTTTTGTATCAATTCTTCTGCAAGCTATCAAATACAATTAGGAAACCTTTCCATGCAAAATAATATACTGTATTGCAAATGTAGAAATTTTGGGGAAAATTCATTTATTACAAGAAATTTTGAAAATAAAAACCTCTAAACAATATTTAGAAAGCAAGCAATGCTTGCTATGGATTTTAATTATCTGAGCACACAGATGAAGGTGGAGTATTGATCTTTCTTGAACATGACAGACTGAGATGAATCACTCCAATGAACTTGTAACTTAATTTCTTTAAATAGTAAAAAATCTGAATTTCTCCAAAGGTGATTAATCCAATGCAACCACAAACATTTTGGAATTTTCACTATGTTCTGTATCCATCTATAAGAACCCCTGTAGACAAAATTGTAGGTGGAACAAGAACAATATGTACCCCCCCCCCCCCTCCAACTTTGTTCAGGTGACACAATCATCATTCACCTGGCTGAGAGACATACAGAAGTACAAGCATCAGAGAGACAAACAATCATACAAACTAAAGCTTTCATTCTGTATTGCTTAATAAATATTCAGAAAAATGATGTGTAAATTAATTGTTTTAATAAACTTGATTCCCTTAAAGCAAAAAAACCATATACATATTAACAAGAAGAATTATGAAATAAATGAGCAAAAGCTTAAAAAAAAACAAGGTTTTGAAAATGAGGTCCCGTGTCGCAGTAGATGCTGGCACGAAAAAGATCCTTCACTGCTTCATGGCCCTGAATGCCGAGTATAGGTCAAATTTTGCAGCTCTCTACCGGCAAGTGGTGGCGTCTCCATATGAGTGAAAAATTCTCGAGAGGGACGTTAAACAACAAACAGAAAACTAAATTTTAGCGACACCTTATTTTCACTAGATAAGCATTTGGTATTTATAAGCGAGACAAAACTTTTACGAATTCTGGTCAATGTTGCTTATAATCTATATCAATAAAAAAGAAACTGAGAACAAAATTATGCAAGCAAACTGTCTCGCATAATTATGCGAAAATAAAGTTCCACTGAATAAAAAGTGGTTTACAGTAGGTGTTTATATATTTAAAGCTTTGTGCATGGCCGTAGGAACCGGGGGACACCGGGGGGGGGGGGGGGGGGGAGCTGTTTGCTGATATATAGATTACTATAGAAAACACAGCTACTATATGCTTGTGCCCCCTCAATATAAACGTCTGATGACCTTTTTTGTTTTTTGCTTGTCAACAAATTTTTGGTAATTGATAGTGCCCCCCCCCCAACTGAAAATGTATGGCTGTGCAATCCCCCCCCCCCCCCAAAATGAAATTATTTCTTACGGGCCTGTTGTAGAAAAATTAAACATAGCAGTAAAGATATAACCTAAACATAATTCTCAGTAAGCACAGATTAGACAAAAAGGAAATATAAGCTAGAATTCCATTTACTAAACGGATTTAAGAATGCCTTGTTAAAACGATTTAGATGATAGAGGGAAACTTTTAAGTACGGAAGCGTAATAGGGCCGCAGCAGTATCTTTTATTAATTTGTTTTAACAAATTACTAATTTGTTATAACAAATTATCAATTTGTTATAATAAATTATCAATTTGTTAAAACAGATTACTAATTTGTTATAACAGATTATTAATTTGTTATAACAAATTAATCAATACTTTTTCAATGTCAACACAGGGGTCAAAAGGGGAGAAGACCTATTTTTTCCTTCTTTACACATGTGTAATATTTTGTGTGTATTGTTATAACAAATTATATTGCTTAACGATTTCTTGTAAAATATATGAGTAGTCCTATATGAGACAACCAGGATACAAATTACAAATGAATTCGAAGAAACAACTGTCAAAGTTTTCAGCCAATAATAAGTTATGAAGGCTTTAGTGGGACTTCGAGGGCTTTTCCAAAAGGCACGTATTTTGATTATAAAAATTACATACATACATGAAAAAATTTCACAAGGTATCTAAATTCAAATTTTACGAAGTACTACCCACCCAAGAATATTGTTTATTTTCGTTTTCAGAAAAGGTTATTACAGAGTGTTTATCAATTTTTCTATGATAATTTATCTACAAATTCATTTTTTTTATCAATGTTGCCTTTATTGCCCCCAGCATAAATTGGGGCCAAGGAGGTTCACCAGAGGAGCAGATTCAGGTTTATGCATTAGGAACGGCGGTTTAGTTTAAAATATATTTTATTCATGATACATAAACTGGATTGAACAGTAGGCATAAATCATTTGGTACATGTATAGAATGAATCGAGAGAGAGAGAGGGAGGGGGGGTAAAATGAAATAAAATAAAAGACATATTGAAAAAAAAATATATTATAATGAACATGTTGATTCAGGGTGGGAAAAATTCCCTCTCCAAATAACATGTCTTTGATAAGATATTTTTTCCTAGCATACGAACGGGGATGCAATGACCTGGTAGATGGGAGTCAAGGACGGAGCCCTGGTGGGGGAGGAGGACAAAATTTAAATAGAGCTCCTAAGAATAAGTAAATAGGAACCAAAGAATTTGATGCATTGTATCTTTATAACAATAATGTTTGACAGTGAAAACTCTAAATGCTAAAAGATGTAAATCCAGATTAACATATTGGTCAAAAGCTGTAGCTGCAGAGCTTGTACATTTATTATTTTCACAAATCCAACTTATAAAAAGATTTCTGATCTCATCTGGCTTCCATAGATCTGTATACACTTTCACTTTATCAAAATTATTAATTTGTTATAACAAATTACCAATTTGTTATAACAAATTAATAATTTGTTATAACAAATTAGTAATTTGTTATAACAAATTATTAATTTGTTATATCAAATTGATAATTTGTTATATCAAATTAGTAATCTGTTATAACAAATTAGTAATATGTTATAACAAATTAGTAATCTGTTTTAACAAATTAGTAATTTGTTTTAACAAATTGATAATTTGTTATAACAACTTAGTAATTTGTTATAACAAATTAGTAATCTGTTATAACAAATTAATAATCTGTTATAACAAATTAGTAATTTGTTTTAACAAATTAGTAATTTGTTTTAACAAATTGTTAATTTGTTATAACAAATTAGTAATCTGTTATAACAAATTAGTAATCTGTTATAACAAATTAGTAATTTGTTAAAACAAATTAATAAAAGATACTGCTGCGGTCCTAATACGATTCCGTATTTAAGAGATATCCTCAGTTGAAAGCATTGTCATCTCTAAAACTCAATTGAAAGCATTGTCATCTCTAAAAACTCAAAAGTAAGCCTTCAAAATATGACTTTACTACAAAACCATACAAACAATATACCGGTTTGCCCACAGGTGCTTGAGGACAGGACACCCCCCCCCCCCCCCCCCCCCGATACAGACCCCCAGGTCTGTTCGACTCTTTTCTCATAAATTATATATGGATGACACATTTGTGATATAATATCCATATCATCAATTCGGAAAATTGACTTAAGGTCAAGATCTAGTAAATGAAAGGTGCCTACAGATTTCTCAAATTTGAGAAATAAATTCCTTTAATGATGCTTTATAACTTTAGCTTGGTCAAATAAGGTGTTTCGGGACATAATTTGTCGATAAACAAGACGAAAAATCATATTTTAAACTGTCATTTTCAATGAAAAATTAAGAAAAGCAGTCATCAATACGGGAGATTTTTTCTATATTAGACAAAGGAAATGTATCCAGATTGCCTACAGTCTCTCAGAAAACGGTAATTTGTATGTTCTTGTCCTCTTCCTTAAAATAATATTGAACTGAATATAGGTAACGGGATTACTTTTCACATGATTTCAAATTGAATTCCATTAAAATATTTATTTTCTACATAATTATATTAAAGCCGTAAAGTACGGGAAAAAGAAAGTTGAAATTGATTATGGCGTCATAATGGATCTAGCACCAAACAGTTAGTCTAAAGTTATTTACTAGATCTTGACCTTAAACATTTTATAAAAATTACTACCCTACCCTATATATATATATATATATATATATATATATATATATATATATATATATATATATAGAGGGGGTAGATTTTATAAAATGTTTGTTTTAGGTAATTTTTCGAATTGTTGGTATAGATTATATCAGAAATATGTCATTGAAAGATGATTTATGAGAAAAAAAGTCCAAAAGGCCCGGGGGTCTATATCGGGGAGGGGGGTTCCTTATGGGCGAGTACCTCCTCAAAGTTCCTACAGAAGCATGCCCTGACATAGATTTTTCCGTTCTCCTCCTTCCGTTCGAATCTCTTGGCATTCCTGTGAGACAGGGAAATGTCTACTTCATGAATCACTTCTTCTTTTGAGTTGTGTCTCATTAACTCCAAATCCAGAAGCTGATCTACCTCCACGAAATCTTCCAATAAAATAATTTATTAATTAAAATTAATAATTAATTTATAAATTAAAAATTATTATCACTAAGTGAATAAGAATAGATCACATTATGTTGTCTGCTGGTGTGTTTTTGTGTGTGTAAATTATGTCTGTTGTGCTGCATGCCATTGTAATTTTAACTATGTTAAATGTGTATATTGTCATTTATGTATTTTATGTAAAAGTATATATCTTAGTGACTAATCATGTCGGTCAAAAGCTCTACAGAGCTTATGTTATTTGTTTGAAAATCCGACTTTAAATAAAATTTATCTGATTCTGATTCTGATATATATGTACTTTAAAATCACTTATTTTTGTAGAGGGTTAATTATTCGTCGTTTTTGTGGAATGAAGTGACCCACAAATTCATATCCCTAATGAAATATTAAATTTCAATACTGCAGTATGAGGTTTCTTCTTTAACAAGTTTAACCTTTAAATCATCCATTCAAACCAAATCACGAAAATATGACCCCTCAAAGTTCGAAAATATGTGATTTTACAGTAATACATGTACATATTTTCCATTTTAACATCTTTAAAATATTTATTATGTTTATACTGATCTTTTATTTGGTAATGATGATCATCTTTA